ATTCTCTTTCTGCAGATGTACAGGGTCCAAATAGCCTGTAACAATGAGCCAGACATCCCATACTCTTCCAGCAAACCCTATTGGACATTCCTCACCCTGGCAAATTGGTCCCAGGTGAGAGGCTAGACAAAGAGCAAATCGTACAACCCATCTATGATGTTGTAGGTAAAGCTCTTAAATCTTAAAGGCAAATCTTTTTTTTCTCCCAAAAGGTCAACTGAATTTAAATGTTACATTAAGTTGAAGCATTCAGCAAGTCTTGTGAAATATCTACCAGGGATTGGGGATTTTCTTTTTCCTTTTTTCTTTTGTAGTAATTCAATAATTTAATCAAGTTATAGCATATTATTATGATATTTCTAAATAACTTACTCAGAATACGTAAAACCCGCTTGTAATGGGTGACTCTGATGGTTGATAATTCATGGGCAGTATACAACACACTGACCTGTTCCTGAGTGATTACTGCCTTGTTGACAAAATGCTGCAGATGCTCATTGGCAAAGTTGATACACAGCTGCTCAAAGCTGTTCACTCCCAGGTTCTGCATAAGATCACAGGACCATTGTGAATTTATCTACACAAGAATATGCTTAATTACTTGGACGTTTCCAGACCAAAGTCCAAACTGGACAGTTACCTCAAATCCATAAATGTCAACTATGCCCACGGTGCTGTCCATTTCTGTGGGACTCAGCCATTCATTAATCTGCTCCACCAACCAGTCAAAAAGAACAGAATACAAGGCTTTAGCAATGGCATCTCTAGAGAGGAGAAAAGAAAGGAAAACAGAGATAAAAGTCAATTTACTGCTCTCAGATAGACTGACAAAGAATTGAAAGAAGTGGGTTTCAACCATGGATGGTATATTAAAAGAAAAACTATTTTTGAGTGAAATTATAGGAAAGATATTGTAATTTTTGAAGCTAGACCCACATCTTGATAGAGTTTAAATATATCTCTGTTCTTAGTTGCAAACATTTTGTCCAGATCTGTGCCCACATTGAAAGACCAAATTATCCTATAAACAGAAACTTAAATTAGTGGTGTATAAACACCCTTGCATAAATACTAAATAGACTCAATGCGTCACTTTGCTTTACCTAGGTGATTGAAACTAAGATGGAATGCTTAGGAAAATAAATAAATAAAATTAAAAAATATAAAAAGTGATTTCCCCCCCTGTTATAACATCAATTAACTCTTTGGAAAGCTGAGTTCAATTTCTCCAGCTACACCCAGGCCAGACTCCTGGAGTAGTCCAAAAGATCCTTAAAAGCCTAGACATTATGCCGCGATCCAAGGAAATTCAGGAACAAACGAGAAACAAAGTAATTGAGATCTCTCCATTTAGAAAAGGTTATAAAGCCATTTCTAAAGCTGTGGGACTCCAGTGAATCAGTGAGAGACACTATCCATAAATGGCAAAAACATTGAACAGTGAGTGAGTCTTCCCAGGAGTGGCTGGCCAACCAAAATTATCCCAAAACCGCAGTGATCACTCATCCAAGAGGTCACAAAAGACCCCAGAACAAACTCCAAAGAGCTGCAGGCCTCAGTTGCCTCACTTAAAGTCAGTGTTCATGACTCCACCATAAGAAAGAGACTGGGTAAAAAAA